ACGTATCGGAATTGTTGCTTACTTGCAAAAGGTTCGAATCTTGAAAAGCTACCCCATCCATACCGACAATGGCTAGTGGATGAAAATCATGGAGGAACAAACATGCAAGAGTCACTAAAGCTCATGGTAAACGTCCAACGCCCACCCACACATTCTCAAATATTAACTTCCCACACAGGGTCATCGCAAATACGAACCAATAACCAACGCGATTCCTTCCCGGTGGACTCCGCCAGACGTAAAGTCAGACGCCGCTCGGTCCTTTCTCAACGACTATACTAGGAGGGATGAGTTTATTACGCCAATGGATGCACAAAGGTTCTTCAAGCTATCTATCACATATCTGTCCCGGTTGACGAGAACTTTGAATGGCATGCTTTACTTGTTTCAGGTTTATGATATGCTGAAGGCGTGCAAGGGGTCAAGGGCTGCGGACGGGGCGCTTGAAGATTTCTTGGAAAATAAGAACGATCGCGAGATGGAGTGATCTTATTTCGCATCCAGCTTCAGAACACGTTACTTAGTTCTATATGGTCCGATGATAGTGCTATTTTCCAAGGTCATTTGTGCAGAGGGAAAACTCCTCGCCAATCCGAGACATCGAGATGTTTTTGTTCTTCGGCTAGGAATGGAAAACTATGGTGGATCCAGGGGTAACACGCAGGAGGTTTAACGCACTATACTTACTTCACGAAATGGGACATATCATACAAAGAACGCACGAATTAATGACTACCACCCTTTCCCCGCCAATGGCGTAGTGCTTGAAGATCTAATACGAACTTTCCGGGTACTCCAAATGATTCCGAGTGGTTTCCAACCCTTCAGAAATATCAACAGTAGCACCAATTGAATTATCTGCCCATTTCTAAACCCCACTAATTTGCCACCACGCCGCACCCCCTGGCCGTTTATCCATAACATACCTTGCCTTTCTCCTCGCTATCTTTAGTGTGTCATAGCTAATTATCGTCTCAGTATCATTGTCATAACTCCAACTCCAAACTAAATCCTCATCCTCATAAATCGTCGCATTCTTTGTAAGTGGCAAATGCTTGTAATCCCAAATGCCGCCTATATCGTTCCGATCACTATTTCCGGTCCCATAAAACAACGTACCAGGACTATACGTATCCTAGAAAGCGTGTCCGGATAACGCATTCGAGAGGTTGTCGAAGGGCGTAGTAAGTTTATCCTTTGCCCTATACAGATTCGGGCGTGGCCTGCGTAGGGAGGTATGGTCCAGTAACTGACATAGTCGAAAGCCGTGAAGGTCCAGAAATCGAGAAACAGGTCCATACCTTTGATATCCAGGAGCTCATAACGGCTGGGGCCAGCGGGAGCGTCGAAGGTTAGGGGGAAAGGGGATGTGGCGTTTTTGTAAGTGTCCAATTGGGCGCGAGTTTTGTTGAGGAAGTCGACGAACTGGGCTGCTTGGTCGGTGTTATTTATGAATTCATAATCGCAATCCAGACCGTCAAAGCCTAGGTTGTACATCAGTTTGACGGCAGAACTTGCGAATGTCGAACGGCAGGTTTTGTTGTGCAGTATGAGAGCCCAGTTGTAGGAGAATGTAAAGCCTCCTACGGATAACAGTGTCTTCAAATGTCGATTTGGTTGCTTGAGGAGGTAGAGTTGCTTAATGGTGCCTTCAAACTTGGTTTCAATTCCGTCTTTGTCTTTATTATATTCAAAATTGGCCCATCGATCACTTAAAGCTACCTCTCCAGTAAACTAGTGCGTGCGAGCATAGAACTTTTAGCAGAATAATTAGATTTTGAATATCAGTTGCACATTTGGGAAGACCGAAGAGTCAGAAAAACAGAAATACGCTTTAGGGGTCGCCATACCATTTTGTGTAGCTTCTCAATCACCCCCCTTTCTCGCTTTTGACTTCCTTCTATTACACGCTTTAATTTATTCTCTTATTAAAGATGTTAAGTTCGGTGTCAAGTTTAAGCATCAGAGGTCATTTGCCCTTGTGCAAGACAAGGGTTCTTCCTTACGGAGCCTACCGCAAGCGAGCCCCTGATATCTTGGCTGACATTATAAGTGGAAACTCACTACTTTGGTCATCTACATATAACATCGCTTGATGCTTTATGTTGTTGCGAATGGTTTTTTTGGTGAGAGGATAATGTTTAACTTCGCAGTACCCACTCTCCCCTGTAGGTACTTATACCTACCTAGGGCAAGCGGCAAGCTCTGCAGGCTAATCATAATGTGGCGTAACTCGCGCCGACTTCAAATCAATATCCCATTACCGACTTCACGGCACTCCAAACAATATCTTTTTTGCTGATTGCAATTTATCCTGTCGATCACATGTATGCAAGCCAATTTTGGATATCTTATATCCCGCTGGTAAGTCAAAAGCACCATTCAATGATCCCGCTCAAGCCCCCGGACCCCGCTAATCCTCCACAGATTCAAGCTCCAAATCTGCCTGCGATTCTTCACTCCCATTAAACATGGCAAGCGGAAGAGGCTTCGAGAATCTCTCAATTGAGCTATTTGAAAGCATCACCGACCATATCAAGGAACCGCGGGAACTAAGCATTCTTTGCCTTGTGTCACGGACCTTTTATCACCGAGTGGTACCAACGCTTTACCAGTCATGGTCCTATCGTGGCTTGGAGCAGCCGACGGGCTCTATACGCTCTTTTTTGCAGACGATACTGGCCCGTCCCGATCTTGCTTCTCATGTTAGGATGTTGGACATTCGGGAGTGGGGAAAATGCCCTCGTGAGTACTACCTGAAAAGCTTTTGTCCTTTTTAGGTAGGGCTATGAGTAGTCGTCTAAGCTTTTTGATGGAGATGACCTTTCAACTATGGCTCCTTACCTACAAGCGTGGAGGTGGTATTTATGACTAATAGCAGACAGACCTAGAAGACAACATTGGTTCTCACGCCTGTGGCTGGATGGGTCCTGCTTACCAGCGGGTAAATCCAGAATTCCAACAACGAGAACGAGAACTTGAGGCATCAGGCGACGAAGAAGATGGTGATTATGAGGACTCGGGAGACGAAGACGATGCGTCTATCGATTACTCAAGCGAAGATCCCGAATCAGAAATCGAAGATGGTTCGGATCATAAACTCGGCCCTCTTGATGAAGGAGACAAGAAATATATTCTCCGGAAAGCTGCTAGTAATCTGGATCTAGAAGATTCCGAGGCTCTAGTTAATTGTTATGAGGTTATGCATGAAACAGATGATGATGAGCTGCTTGTTCGCCTTATCTCTCTTCTGTCGAATCTACGGACTATGTTTATCGTCATGCCGGACAATGAAGAGTGGTATAAGGACTGGTCTGACCACAGAACTTCCAATGATACTTTGACCCCGCTCGCGAAACTGGTGAAACTTGCATCGGAAGACAAAGAGTCTACCGTCCTGAAGAACCTCGAAACGGTATATATCAGTAGCGCATTGCGTAAGTACATGTACACAGGGGCTGGTTTGATGTTCGCCCGAGAGGACTAATCTATTATGCTAGACATTGGACCTACAGGACATCGACAGTATGAACTTCAATTAGGCTACATTGTTCCTTTCTTCAAACTGGAAACCCTCCGATCACTGTATACCCTTACTCCATACACCAACAATCATGGAGGCTGGGTGCCCATTGATTGGAAACCCTACAGCGGTACATCTAACATTACAACACTGGTATTCGACGAAGCGAATCTCACCCCCGAAGATGCCATCCACGCAATCGGCTCCCCCAAAGCGCTTAAGAGCTTCCAGTGGAGCGACGAATTTATATGCTTCAGCCCTGGCAGCTGCACCTCGCCATTTCACAGCACCATCGGCAACGCGCTGCGCGAGAAGCACGCAGACACATTGGAAGACCTGGATCTGGATATCATCCACAAATACTGCACGGATGCACACCATCTGGGGAATCCACACGGAACAACCCAGGGCCTGCGAGCTATGTACAAGTCCTATAGAAACCCTACAATCGACCTCGACAGCCTTTCCAGACCCCCGCAAGATTCCATCCTCATCGGATCATTGCGGGCGTTCCATCGTCTGACGACCCTCTCCATCGACGCGACGGCTCTCTGCGGACACCAGAAGTGGAGCGCAGCACCTATCCGGATGATCGAAGCCCTGCCCGAATCTCTCCAGACCCTTAGTCTCCGTGTCCGTATCCAGCGCCTAGATCACCACGAAGGGAAGGGGAAGCCCGTTTTGGATAACACGCTCTGGGTTGATCATTTTCTCGACCTGGTTCAAAGGTCAAGTGCTATGCTGCCGCGGCTGAGGAAGATCAGTATCTTGGTTATGCATCGTCTCTGGCCGGGATCGAGGAACTATGAACTGCCATGCGCAGAAGTCGAGTGGGTGTCGCTTTTTGTGGATATTAGGCAGGAGTGTGTTAAATTTGGGCTGGAGTTCTCTTTGGAAGCGTCACAAAAGAGGTGTACTACCATACCTTACTTTCAGGAACAGAGTAGGGTTCGTAAGCCCGGTAGGGACTAAAGGCGATGATCGACTTCGAGTAGGTCTTAGGATTATCACATTGCTTTTAATTATCAGTACGTAGCTATTAAAGATAATAAAGGTTTCTAGCGATAGCTGTTCTTGTAGCTTTATTATAAATCCTAGTATAATTAATTTATTCTTTTCTAGATCAACTTCTAATGATATTCCGTCGTGTAGAAGCTACTCTCAAGTTCCTAGAAACCACCAAGATAGCCACAAGGAAGTGGTAACTAGCCCGAGAGAATTGGAGGAACACGGAGGACTAGTGGCAGTTGGCCGTTAACTTTATTTTCTTCTATTAATTTTCAGGGGCGGTGACCCCAACCAGCTCATATATAAATATACCCAACCTTCTATACTAGCACAATTTCGTTTCAACTGTATCCTACCTACATACATGCCACTGGCCTTCCCATATAGTCATCGACTCGTAAAGGAAGTATAAATGAGAAAAATTATATAAAAGAAGATATATATATTATTCTCTTCTCGCATCCACCTCTTAGGACACTGTAGATACACTTAATGAGTTTTCCTTTCCTCGTCTAGCCGGCTCATGTTCGAAAGAGTAGTCGTAGTTCACATGGATTCCTTGATCACTGGACCCCGGGCGTTGCCCATTTCGTGCGATCTCGAGAGCATATTCTTCGTCGGGTACTTTAGCGGTACTTGATGTCGGGCCAAGCGAGTTAAAGGTTGACCTTATGGTCACGGAGCGTCTGGCTGCAATGAATAGAGGCGGGACTCCAGGTAAACATGCTGCACATATGATAAGGTCATTCTCGATACTATTCCAAAGGCCTATATGGAGGGCATGTGTGTAGACTTCCAACAGATTAGGGTTCCCCAGGAGCGAGGCATTACTGGAGACTTTGATTACCCCGATCGCAAAGGCACTGCGCACGTCAGTCATGACCAAAAATAAAGGGGGGAATAGCTACGCCAACCCGAGTCCCATCAGTGCCATAGTGCTAAGCTTCTTCCATACTGGCATTTGCAGGTGCCAAAGAACAAAACCTGGATAAACAGCGAAAGCAAAGTCTAGAAACGCAGAAGTGGCTGTTTGTAACTTTTAATACCCATATGATTCGGAGCGCACGGTTAGACTTACAGCTACCAACAATAGAATAATCGATCTGCACGTTACGAGGCCAACAATGTGTGTCTGGATGTCGGAACGGGTCCCATTGTCCAGCAACCGGATTGCACTGGACGAAACAGATCACAAACCCTACAAAGCACACTATGTTGAGTCCTATAGCCATTGACAACATGGCTCTGCGAACCAAGGGCCGTGGTCGAAATATGCGTATAAGGAGAATAGCAACTCCAATTTTCGGCAACGTGACGCTGAGGAAGGACCACGAATCGGTAAACAAAGCCCAAAATGTGGCGGGCGGGACAGTTTGAGGAATGGTGGACGGATTGTTTTCATCAACGCGGCGAGTTGCAGTTAATGCTAACTGATAAGTTACCATTCGAACTATATTAAGCAACTGCTTTGCATCAGCAGGTCAACCATGCGTCAGGTATGAAGATACGAACCCAAGAAATAGAAATGATAATGTCATCCCAACCCAAAGGGATTTTCTTTGTGAACCACACACGCGCGACACTTCGCAACGTAAATATGATCGTCGAGAGCGCGAAAAAGGTCCATGCTGCGATCGCAGCATGGTGTGTAAACGTGTTGAGTTCTTCTTGCTGGCTCATGTCTGCAAAAAGCAATATATCCAGGGCGAAGGTGAAATACTAGGCAACTGGAGGACGGTGAATTGTCAGCAGCGGGCTTTTCTTAAAACTTAGCAGAGGTATGTAGTGAGGAGGATTTAGGGTACAAAATTGTAAAAAAGACTCTACTAGTGTATATCGTCTGGTATGTTTCGTTTAAAAAAGGCAATAGGCAAAGGTGTCTGATGGCTGCCTCCTCTCATTGAAATGCCGGCATGATACTCGACTCGCACAAAGCGGCGTAGACGTTTCGAAGGAATGTCTTGCATGCGCCCGAGATGAGAATTCGACCTGCAGGACCTCGCCATCCCCTGCAGAAAGCAAATCGAGTCTCCAGATATGAACTAACTGAATTTGGGTGCATAGGTGGAAGAGCACTTGTACCGAAGTAGAAGGGTTTTGAGGCATACTGGGAATTGAGGGTGTGCGGCCCCTACAATTGAAAGGGAGCTTGATTGCCTGAGGCAGAAGTGGAAAGGATAGGGATTAAAGTACGCCGTTTGAATAATAATAGAATGTAGGTGATCTTATTAATTTTAGGATTTGTAAAGGATTAGGGATTAGGAGTTAGAAGTGAACTAATAATAATCTTATTCTCTTATATATGAGTACTAACACTAATAAAGGCACCTATATATACCCATTTACAAGTATCCTGAAGTTCCTAGATTTCTAGGGGGTGTGACGTCCAAATGAGGCAAGAATAGCGTAAAGGGGTAAGGATCTATCTTATATGTCTTGGCGCTAAGCTGACAGCAAGCAAGGTAGTAGGGTTAAATCAGTTCATGCAGTAAGCCAGCAGTCATCAAGATATGGATGGCTACCTCCCTTACCGACCACAAACCAACAAGTTGGATTCAATTAAGCTGTGGCAGAGGATGCTCCTCTTCTTTGGAAATTTAGATGCCCGCACACCGCACAACTCTGTCGATCCTCGTCCGTTTTGAAGAATACCAACAGGAGACTACAGTTCCTTATCTTTGGGCCTTTTGGCGGCAAGCTAGACTCGACCTGAACAATACCTGCTGGGTGTCTTTTGGGGCTCAATCATTTTGTAACATTCAGCCCCGCCGCTTGGAGTCTTACCATTGCGCTCCACGAACACACAAGACACTACTATCTTGACTGCACCCAGCAAGATGGATTCGACCAGTGCTGAAGCTGTTCATCACAAGAGTGTTACTGATATCAACTCATCTGAAGTCGAAGAACGCTACGGAAAAGAGCGTGCGAAACGATTACGCGATGACGGAGTGGATCAGTTCATTGATATTTCCAGTTCTGAGAAATATCAGCATTTCCAGAAGGATCCGTGGGCTGAAGAGTCTTCTGTCAAGGATATCCGTGAGATGTTCCCGAATAACCGATGCCATGTACTTATCGTCGGTGCTGGCTGGGGAGGGTTACTGTATGCCGTGCGTATGATCGAGGCAGGCGTTAAGCCTGATGATATCCGTATCATTGATACCGCGGGTGGGTTTGGCGGTACGTGGTATTACAACCGGTAAGCAGTGGCTCTATTTGACCTGCAGAACTGCCCTGTAGTATTCCAACTGACGACTGATATTCTTATTGCCGGCTTCATTATTCGGCAAAAACAGTATACTGACTTTTCAAAGGTACCCAGGACTTTCATGCGACATCGAAAGTTACTTGTACTTGCCATTGCTCGAAGAGACAGGCTACATTCCCAAATATCGCTATGCCCACGGCGAAGAGATCCGGGAGTATGCCAACCTTGTTGCTGAGAAATACAAAATTGCGGACAGTGCGGTCTTCCTTACCAAGGCTGAGAAGATGGAATGGGATGAGTTGAGCAAAGAATGGCAAGTGGAGCTTATACAGCGCAAAGCTGAGCCACAAGTTTTAAATGTCCGGGCCAGTTTTGTAGCGATGGTCAACGGCGTATTAAGCTGGCCAAAACTACCCGGTATTCCTGGAATTCTCGATTACCACGGGGATGTTTTTCACTCCTCAAGATGGAAATATTCTGTCACGGGTGGAGCCCCAGAAGATCCAACTCTCGACAAGTTGCAAAACAAGCGAGTTGCAATAATTGGCACCGGTGCTACTGCCGTACAACTTGCACCATGTGTGGCCCGCTGGGCCAAGCATCTATATGTTGTTCAGCGTACACCTGCAGCAGTGGATGTTCGAGAGCAATGGAAGACAGATCCTGACTGGTTTCAGAAGGAAGTAGCTACATCTCAAGGGTGGCAGCGGGAGCGCAGTCGAAACTTTCACCAGCATTTCACTACAGCTCAGCTTCCCACACTGAATCTGGTGAACGATGAGTGGACTCGTGCTCAGGGAATGGTACCAATTGCTGGTAACCCTGATCCTAGAAGTCCCAAGTCGCCAGAGGATCTCCCAGCATATATAAAATTGCTGAATGACATTGATCTTCCACGACAAACGCGAATCCGTGCACGCGTGGACGATATTGGTGCGTGACACTCTCATATTCCTTTTCTGCAGCAGATTGTGAGCACGGAGACCTTCCTACCTTGCCCTACAAACTGCATGCTATTCCCAACATCCGCCACAAACTCCTCAAGTTCTCCAACTGAATGCTCCTTTGCTGTACTGACTTTTCCATAGTCACTGACCCAATTATCGGGGAAAAGCTCAAGCCATGGTACCCGACATGGTGCAAGCGGCCCTGTTTCCACGATGATGAGTATCTTGAAATATTCAACCGCAAGAATGTTACACTTGTTGATACAGGGGGCAAGGGCCTTGATCGTATTGCTGGAGATTCCATAATCGCAGATGACAAATCCTACCCTGTTGATATGATTATCTTCGCGACTGGCTTCCGACCACCATATGGTGGTACGCCCGCAGAAAAGGCGAATTTAAAAATCATAGGCCGCAACGGCCTCTCAATGACAGACGAGTGGAATCGTAATGGTCCGAGTACATTGCATGGGATTATAGACTGCAATTTCCCTAATCTCTTTCTCTCAGGACCCTGGCAAGCTTCTACCAGCGGGAACTTTCTATTCAACGACGATGCTCTGGCAAAACATACTGCGTATGTTTTAGCAGAGGCAAAACGGCGAGCCGATGGGAAGGCTTTCAGCGTGGTGTCAACTCCTGCAGCTGTTGAGGACTGGAGTATGCAAATTCTAATGCGATCAGCACCCATGGCTGCGATTATTGGCTGTACTCCGAGTTATTTCAATCTTGAGGGCGCTCTAGACCGTACACTTCCATCGGAACAAATGAAAATGGCGCGATCCGGTTTATGGGGTCACGGAATTGAAGATTTTCTGAAGCACATAGAGGAATGGCGAGAGGAAGGAACTATGAAGGGTATTAAGGTTGAACTATAGGCTTCTCCCGGGCAAATTATATCTTGAATAGTACTTTCACTATCACCTCCTTTGCCCTCAACCTTATAAAGAAAGTAATGACCAAATCTTCTTGGCCCATACTTCTATCCAGGATGCAAACTACTTTCAATGGAAGTATTATTTCTAGCAGTGCCGCAAGTTTTGAATCTGCTTGTAAAGAGGTTGGACACATCGGACGAACCCCCTGCACGCAGATCATTCATCGCTAGGTAGCTGTTAGGTACGATCTGCCATCTAAATAGACATTGTACTTACGGGCCAAAAAACTATAAAAAGTCGACGTAGCATCGGGGTTCTTCTGATGCGTCCACCATACTACCCGCCCCTATATGGTTTGTAAGATGACATTCCTTGAATGCAACCTTTCATCTGCCGGCCACTGCTGACATCCCGTCTTCCCTGCTTGTTGAAGATCTTGCACCCCGCCCCTCTCATACTTAAGCAGTAATAGAAGGCAATAAGAATTTGCATGCCCATCTTATGAAATTCGACGGAATACTTCATCCGCGATTGTGAAAAAATAGTTAAATATTTATTCTATTCGATGAATTATCTAAAAACCTATTATATCTATAGTCTATAGATATATATTCTACTACGATTATCTTATATTATAGAAATAACACAGATATATATATTACTAGAAAACGCACTATACTAATATGCTACTAGCGGGATATATAGTAATAATCTATCTTCTCTATTTAGGTAAATCTTATCTGTTTCATTATTGTAAAAAGATATATAATATAGTATATAGCACTCATTTATATGAAACTTGATACTTATATTAATAATATATTACTCTTCCTAGTCTAGCCTCTTTAAAGATTATCTATTATTGATAATTAATATATCTAAAAAAGAAAAAACCTATAGTAAACGAGATTTAAGAATTCCTCCTGTTCCTCTTTGGTATATTTCCTTTATCGACCATATACCAACCTTATTAGACCGCGGTATACTTTAGATTATTTCCGTGTTGGTGCCGAGACAGTCAGCATATGGATTGCGTAAGGATGATGCATATACCTGCTGCATGACTACAGACTTGACTAATAAGCTAGCCAAGCCAGGCTAGGCCAGGCTGCATGTATGCATGTATACATCCATTCAGGGGAAATGATACTTCGTATACTACACCACTAGATATCTGTCTTTTTGTATAGTATAGTACTCATTCCATCGGTCCGGCTGGCTGGCTGGCAGCTGGTTGGCTGGTTAAATACAAAACTGCAACCAACATTACCCCGCTTGCACTGCCTGCCACGCTATATAAGGCATATACATAAAGCAGGGATTAAACCCTGCCGAGCTTTACTGATTATGACTGGCTCTACCTACCTACCTATACACAACTGATTTTCTGTCAGGCAGGCAGTAGACTTATGAGCGCTGTTTACTGTTTGGAACCAGGTCCCTATCGACTTAGTAAAGTATATTTTAAATTTGAGGTTTCCCTGCATCCACCTGCCAGAAATTGAACTTTGACTTCGATTTCATAACTAACAGCCTCATTTTGTACTTATTAATCGGTCCGTGGCGGTTGGTATCTTGTGTATATGTATATATGCGCTTGCTTTATTTATTTCCGATATAATTCGGATAACTTGCATCTCGGACTTCGCCCAATGGCGGTGTCTCAAATAACTATTTGCTTTGAATATCTAGTAGCTAAATCAAACTAACCTATCTCTGCGTGAGGGAGGAGGGGAGTGGCGGAAGTAAGCACGTGGACCCGGTGAACTTCCAGCAATATAATAACATAACTTTGCGAGCACGCAATTCTCTCACTTTATTGGAAGACGTGCAACAACGGTTACATCTACTATATGTTTGATGGTAACTTAGTAATATAAAGTTGTTTTTAGTATCACCCCAAAATAAAAGTAGTGCCTTACTGTTAATCATATAAGTATTTAGCCAGGAGATTTTATAGATTAGAATTTGACAGGGTTCTTTACTAGCTGTCCAATCTTAAGGAAGAATGCGTGAAATGGGCTACTATGTCTATACATAGTATTCTTTAGGAAACAGTAAGAGAGAATCCTAAGTGGTAGGAAATTTAAGTTCTCCCTGCGTATATATACGACTCTGAGAGCTGCGCAATGGTAGTCGGCCATCAGACTGCCCTATTGTTAATTCTTGCTAAAAATTGCGACTCTCAACTAGGAACATGTCGAGTCTCTTCGAAGAGCAGCGCCTTGAGAATCTGCTGAGAGAGTGTGCCGATAGACAGGCTGGCCTCACATTCTACAGAAGCATCGACGCACCACCAGAGTACTTGAGTTATCGCAAACTCCGGGATGTTGCATCAGTCAAGGCTGGGTATCTTCGACAACACCATGGAGCTTCCATAGGCCAAATCGTTCTCATCCATTTTCAAACCCACCTTGAAAATGTCATCTGGTTTTGGGCTTGCATTCTCGCAGGATGCGTGCCGGCTATGTCAACGCCGTTGGTGAAGAACATCGATGGACGGGCATCTCATCTCGCACATATCCATCGACTACTTCTCGATCCGCTGGTTATCACATCACCAATACTGGTTGAAAGAGACTTTGGTGATAACAACGTTCTAAACGTTGTGGCAGTTCAGACTGGCGATCTTTCTGGAACTGAAGTTACCATCTCGTTGCCGGCCAGCCGAAATGAGAATCCAAGACCCCTATTTCGTGAGCCTGCCAACTCAGATGTCAACACGCCTAATGGAGGAGAACGACCAAGTACGTCGCTGAAAGAGGTTGCCGTGTTGATGCTTACTTCAGGGAGCACTGGTGATGCCAAAGCAGTGTGCTTGACACACAAACAGATCTTGACGGCATGCAAAGGCAAATTATCGCATATGCCAATTCCTCAAAGTGCCACAGTACTGAATTGGATTGGTTTGGACCATGTTGGTAGCTTGACAGAGCTTCATATCACTGCGATGCTTGCGAACTGTGATCAAGTTCACGTTCCGGCGACCGACTTAATCGCGGACCCTCTCGCATTTCTCCGCCTTTTATCAACTCATCGCGTTGCTCGAACTTTCGCTCCTAACTTCTTCCTACATAAGCTTCAACAGAAGCTTGATCTTGCTACAGCACAGGAAATAGAAGGAGTTGACCTGCGGAATCTGCTTTACCTTATCTCTGGCGGAGAATCGAATAATGTCGATACATGCGTCAAGTTATCAAGGCATCTACAAAGGCTGGGTGCAATCAAGAGTAACATCCTTACACCAGGCTTTGGTATGACCGAAACGTGTGCCGGATCTATCTATAGTCTCAGCTGTCCAGAGATTGATACAAGCGCTGGGACCGAATTTGCAGCTCTCGGCACATGTATCCCTGGCATTGAGATGCGCGTCACAACTACTGCGTTGAACGCCAATGAGGGTAGTCTTGAGGTTCGTGGTCCTGTAGTATTCGAACGATACTTCAACAATGCAGATGCTACTCGGGAAGCGTTCACGAAAGATGGTTGGTTCCGCACGGGTGATACAGCTACTATCTCTGCTCATGGAACATTGCGACTTGTTGGAAGGTCGAAAGACGTTATCAACATCAACGGCATTAAGTACCTTCCGCATGAGTTGGAAAGTGCTATCGAGCAAGCACAGATAGCGGGTGTGGCACGCTCTTATGTAACTTGCTTCGCTTATCGTTCTAAAGGAGACAACAGTGAGCAAGTCTACGTCGTTTACCAATTTGAATACGACGCGTACGACACCGAAGCTCGCGCAAATGCTCTGCAAGGTATTATTCGTACAGTGGCCTTGTTTTCGGGCGCTCGACCCCTAGTTTTACCTTTGAAGTTAGGGCGTCTTGAAAGGTCCACATTAGGGAAATTGTCTCGTGCAAATGTCAAGGCATTGTTGCTTCGGGGAGATTATCAAGACCAGATCGACTTCGACTCCCAGATGTTACAAGCTCATCGAATAAAGTACGCCGTTGAGCCAAGTACCCCGACGGAAAAAAGACTAATGCAGGTGTTCCGGGACCTTGACCTTTATTGCCCCGATATGAACATCAACACGCCTATTCTAGATGTAGGGGTAAGCTCAGTGGATCTAATTCGACTGAAGCGAGCCGCGGAACAAGCATTCCAGATCATTGATATCTCTATTACCACAATGATTACAAACACGACAATTCGCACACTCGCAATGGCTATTGAAGGTCTGCGATTGTCCCAAGATGGTGTCCACACTGAATACGATCCGGTTATTACTCTGCAGCCAAACGGTGGAAAGACGCCGCTATGGCTCATACATCCTGGTATTGGGGAGATTCTAGTGTTTCTTGGATTGGTTAAATATTTCCCGGACCGTCCCATCTATGCTCTGCGTGCTCGCGGACTCAATGAAGGAGAAAAGCCTTACACTGGACTGCAGGAGATAATTACAGCGTACCATGCCGCGATCAAAGACAAACAGCCCCAGGGGCCGTATGCTATTGCTGGATATTCGTATGGAAGCATGCTTGCATTTGAAGTTGCCAAATATTTGGAAAAGAACGCAGACAATGTCCAGTTTCTTGGCTCGTTCAATCTGCCGCCTCATATCAAAACCCGAATGCGGAGACTGGATTGGACAGCAGGAATGGTGCATATTGCGCACTTCTGTGGTATTATCACCGAACAGCGGTCCGAGGAGCTGATCCACGAGCTACGCCACTTGTCACATACTGAGCAAGTAACTATGCTGCTCGCGGAGAGCGACCAGCAGCGGAGTATGGACTTGGCGTTGACTCATGCTGGGCTCCAAAACTGGACGGAGGTGTCGTGGTCACTTCAAAAGATTGGCTGGGAATATGACCCTTCTGAAGATGTGTCACATATGGATATCTTCTATTGCCAACCGCTGAAAGATGTGGCAAGTACGCGCGAGCAGTATCGGAAAGACCATCTGAACCACTGGGTTGGATTTATTCGTAACGACCTCAAGTTCTGGGAAGTAGATGGACAGCATTACACTATGATCGGCCCCGACCATGTGCCCACTTTCCAAAAGACTTTAAAAAAGGCGCTCAGTGCACGAGGGTTGTAAGATAAGTGGCGAGGTTTTAGAATGGTATTGATTTTAATGATGTTTCTTATTCCTTGACCCAAATTGTATGTGTTGGGACAATTATGCAACTCCAGGTCCTGTGAATTACCTGAGCGTTAACAACTACCATGGATTGCATTTGTAAAGCCCCGACCGAAGATAACACTTGTCACCTTCTCCTATATGCTAGTATCCCTTCCAAGGTGGCTAATAGAAAAGGTATATATTATAAGTTATTAGTTCTATCTTTGACTTTACTTAGATGTTTCCAAGCTGGAATAACCTCTAAAAAAACTAGTCTCTTGATTTCATGAAAACATGGACCGCACTTCTCCGTCTCTAAGTAGGTACTTCCTCAAGACCTCATCCAAAGTCTAGGCAACGCCACCATCCTGTGGTTTCCAGCTAAGGGCTTTAGCAAGAGAGCTTTGAACGCGCATATTTGTTCCAAACATGATAGCAACGTGCAAAGCCCACGAACCAGGCACCCACCGCTTCAACAACCGTGCCAACATCTATCTCTATGATCTCACTGTCCGTCAACTGGCCACGTTGTTGCACCACTAGCAACAAAAGCTCCATGAGCTCTCTAAAGGAGAATCCTTCCTGGTCTCGAAAGACCAGGCTTCTAGTCCCCATATTTAAGCCTCGGGCTTGATTGCCGCGCCTGCTTGGAATTGCTGGATAGTGTGAAAGGATAGGAGAAGATACATGCGTGTAAGTCTCACAACGTGGATACAACTTTGAATAATCATCCCCAACGAAATAAAATATCTAAGAGAAAGCTCGGATGGGTTTCAAAATTTAGGGAAGTGAGAGTGGAAGCGGATGGACGTATCTACAAGGCTTACAATACTCATGACGATAACCATATCCCGAGATTCTGCTTCCAGGAGCTCAATACTGTCCAAATTCTTAATCACCGAAATAATGTATGGATATTAAGCTGCAAGCTGCTAATCTGCCCTTCGTTCATCACAGATTACTAGAGAGTATCCTCACGCTCAAGATATCTGCGTACGACGAGGCAATGAGATCAAGAAATGCCTCATTGATATGGGCTGTAGCACCGCGCAAACCCGCTGCAATGCAGGTTTCGCACCCGAGGCATCCATCGTTGGCAGCAGTCAACCATTTTCAGTTTCTCGCCGACTTCGGCAATGGATATAGCCAGATATTCCACAATATATGCCATTGTATCCCATACTCCACTCGGAACTAAGACCTTTGTCTAAGCGTGGCGTTGGAGAGTAATGAGGGAAGCTCCCGCGTGAGGACCGTGGGGGAAAATGCGAAAGGAACCCCATCAATCAATCCAGAGTCGATTCCTAGAATCAATGTATTTTGCCAAGTATATCCCTCGCCACCTCATCCAACTCAAACTCCCCTTCCGTCGGATTCTCCGCAGTCCGCTCCACAGCCGTTCTCAACTCCCACTGCTGTTCAATCGGCATCGCGTCTACAAGATATACAAGACAATTATACTTCCACCCATCATCACTCCCAAGCAGAATCCCGCGCACAGGCTCAACCAGCAAATGCGGATACGTGAGCAAAAGCGATATGATGTGCGCTGCGATGGGCCAATTGATATCTTGGACCCACGTCAAGAGCTCTGGTATCAGGGGCGCGATGGTGGATGAGGGCAGGGTGGAAAGGTGATCGATGGCGGCGGTGTCGTGTTTGTCGGCGGGGAGGAGGGTTTTCTGGGATGGGGTGAGCGGACTGGATGGACTGGACATTGTTGGGTGAGGTGAGGAGGATGGTTTGGCTGTTGCGATGTGGTTTGCATTAGCCACACCAGACCAGCCACATCAGCCGTATTAGAAGCATAGAAGCTTCGACTTTATATAGCTCAGTAGGTACATAATTGGGTTTTCAGCAAGGTTTTATTATAAAAAACTTATATTACTCAGCTGGCTTCAGGATAGGTGGGTGCATACACCAGGTCCTACCTATATTCACGAAGTATTGTCATGTCAGACATACACGTGATTAAAACCCGCGCACCTAAAAAAAGAAGCAGTCCTAGTATACTTTTAACTCGTACTATTTTCATTCCAGATTATATAGATATGAACTAACTCTATGCTATCTCAGGGCTCCTAAGCCTAAATTAACGTCTGGTCTAGTGCAAGATACACGAGAAAGTAGAGAAGAATCTTAAAATGCAACAACTGAGAGCGAAGGAACCAGGAGCCACCAGAGATCTCATCGAGGAGTGAGTACATCAGCCAGCTAAAGCATCGAAGCTAATCAAACAGAACTATCTATGTTGCATAACAATTACGGTAAAAACCCCAGCACTTTTTTTTTTTTATAGATACCAATTTAATGAGAGAGGGTTATCGAACTTGGGTTTTGTCTCAAAACAACATATACATTGATTAAATAATCGATAATAATAATACACCAGACAGTTTTAGCAATTCTGAGCAGATAACAAGGGCCTGCCTTCGACTTCAGACCGCAGATGTGGAAAGAGGTCATCACGTGCATGTCGCTTAAGCCCCTTTAAAAATACCAAAGTGGATTGGTTTTTCGGCAGTGGTAAGTTCTTCAATATCAACGATGGAAAAAGAAAGCGGAGTGAGACAAATTTTTATAAGCATGTAGATCAAGGGCAATTAGCTTGTTCTGAAGCCTCCTATTAGATAATAGATTGATCCACTCCTAGCTACAGAGTTTCAAGGCATGTATTCCTGTCATTCACTGTCGACTCTAGCTCGGACCTCGGACTAGAAAGCAGAAAATATTGAATTTGAGTGAGAAGTTCCAACTCTTGAGGCAGTAGTTTGGTGTTTGCATTGCTGGAAAGGAAGAAACGGGCAAATTTGTTAGTGGTACCGGTGCGGTGATTGAATTTGTCACCCGCCCCCAAAGCACGGTATGGGGTGTGACACTATGTCTTAGATTAATTGCAGGAGCATTGTGGAGGAGCAGGAACTGAGACTAAGAATGACCTGCAGAGTCGGTAGGAGTATTAGCGTGTGGACATCAATGTGGATATAACACCCGAAACGGTGCTTCCTCGCTCGTTCGAAGCATCAGTGATCTTGGAGGAACCGTGAGTTCAAATAATATGGCAATTTGAAGTGGAAGAGGCAGCTTTTACATCTTCAAATCTTTGATTCTGCACCCCCTTCACCACGCGCACCACTTTCCAAAAACCTCTCCAACGCCCGATTCATCTCGTCTCTCTTCTCAAGCATCACCCAATGCCCAGCTTCCAGATCCAGAACCTCAAAGTTCTCCTTCGGACTCTCAATCGAAGCCCCCATAGCCATTCGCGCCTTTCCGGCATCACAAACCCGATCCTTCGTCCCCGTAATCATCAAAGTCTTCTTCCCAATCTTCCCCTTAATCTCTCCTCTCTTCAATAGCTCTCTCTCCTCCTCCTTCCCAAGACCCATAATTGCCCTATGATACCATCTCAAAGGTGCCGAATAATCATCCCCAAACATTTCATGATGCCGTCCCGCTTCTTCCTGCACATCACCAATCCATTCCCCAACCTTTGCTCTCCTATCAGCACCGATAAACCTCTCCAAGTCCCCAATACCAGCAAGGTCCGTCGCCCACTTGCCAGAATCCTCAGGATAAAGAATACTGAAAAAGCTTTCCCATCTTTTGCCAATCTTCTCGCCGGCTTCGGGACTGGTGAAGAAGAGCCAGTATCCGAGCTGCTCATATCCGATCGCCTGCTTCGTCGCTGCATTTACGCTAGAGAGATTCATATCTCGTCCAGGCGGCTGGTATGGGACCGAGATGAAGACGAACTTGGTGAAGTACGAAGGGTACCGGAAGGCAAGTTGGGAGAGTAGATAAGTACCCCAATCATGTGCTACGCCTACTACATCTCCAGAGGTAAGAACTTCGTGGGTGAGGATGGCGATGATATCTTCTGACATGACGCTGCCGAGGTAATTTTCTACTTCAAGTGGTTTGGATGAGAGGCCATAGCCAAGGAGATCAGGGGCTAGAATCCCGTAGCCTTTGGATGAGAAGTGCGAGATTTGGTGACGCCAGTCATGGGATGTCGATGGGAAGCCGTGCAGGAAGAGCAGCGTTGGTTTGTTATTTGAAGATGGGTGGAAGTGGTAGGCATAAGTGGTGCGGGAGGGGAGTGTGAGTGTTTTGTTTGGGGGTTTTGGTGACATTTTGTCGTATTTACCGTTCCTTTATGAGTAAGGAAGATGGCCTTAATACTCGCACTTTTTAAGTCTGACTGTCCAATTGTTTTTACTCCATATTTTATTCTCCGGGCCACCGAAAGAGCTCAGATCAAACGACTATAGGGCTCCCAAGAGGCCTGAGCTTAGAATTCTCACTTTGAAACCCATGGATTTTGGCATCTAAACCCCGCTTGAGATAGCCGACCCCGCCCGACAACAATACCGACACAAAGCCGACTACTATATTATCTTCACTTTTTCATACCTAAGCATATTGGAAATCACTGCTTGCGGATTACATTGGTGGACGAAAAAGGTAAGAGAGGATATCAATTTGTACTTTTGCTGGTTAGCTATATTAAATTGCATATGCGTTGGTGAGAGCCTGCTAATTAGGGAATTCGATAGCTCCTCAGCTTGTGCAATGACTTGGTAAGTCTCCCATTAAGTAAGAGGTTATCACCTTAATGGAAAAGCTTTCCAATGAGCTCGCGCATGCCTATTTGCTTCCATGTTCAAACTACGAATAGCTTAAACCCTCGCCAGTGCTTTTTCCAGAAGTTCCCCCCAGAACGGTCTATCTATGGCTTCAAAATCAGCACGCTCCCAGGAACCCGGTCTACAGTCTCGCCAGCCAGAAACTCAATGCAATAGCAAGACATGCCAGAAATTCAAGGGCCTGGAGATCACTCCCAATCTATAACACCTGTGAACTCTGAGCTGTCTCCTACCATCAAGTTGAAAGGGTCCAGTTTGAAATGTTCGAGTGAATCTGCGATGAGTCTCTTGATATATGGATAGAACTCCTTCATTTGAAGTGCGCGGATCTTGAAAACTCAACAATCATCTGCAAACATACTCTCGACGCAGAATTCGAATTCTTCGTGGCGCAATAACCAGCAGCACCCAGTGCGATGGTTTCATCTTCTTTTAGTGACGGAGTGAGCCAGGTCTTGAAAAGCAATGGCCTCCACAATACAAACTGCGATTCGGGTCATACACTCGATACCACCTCGTCTTTGAGCGTTGATACGGACGTAGCCACTATTCTCCTGCGGGCAACCAACAAGGCAGTCGAAGCAATCAAGACATCGAAAGATGAGATCTGGTAGTTGCAAGCCGAAAACGCAAGATTGAAGGGGGGATTAAGCACGGCTTCTCTACTGGTACTTCGAGCGAGTCAACGCCTCAGTCATGGACACGGTGTGGAGGGTTGGCGCTGAAATTGGGGAATTCGATAATAAGAATTATCGAGGAATATCGTACTGATAATGACAAGGCAGGCAAAAGCGTGTATGTACAAGATCTGGTAAAGATTTTGCAGGGATGGACTACGAGACTTGTCAATGAAGACCGGAACAGTCGTGATAATGAGTGAAGTAAGTGAGCTGGAAGATTCTGGAAGATTCTGCCTGGGTGGGGATTTTGCAGTTGTTACAGTAATGTACGAGGTAGAATAGCATAAGAGAGACTAGTTATAAAATACAGTATTCCCGGATTCTCTCGAGTCGTGAGGCACTGAAGTTATCAGATGAAAGTGAGAGCATCCAAGGGGAAAGTAGGAGAGAAGAAGTCCGTCGACGTCGGATCAGACCACCAAGCGAACCTTCTACACGTGTTGAGCGCCTAACAGTATGACGTCCCCTTGAATTTCTCGAAAATTAGCATCCCACCGAACAATAACACAATCAGCTTCTCTTCCACCTTACAACCGCCACAAAGGATCTCTACTTCGTCAATCAACTGAATCTACATCTGCAAAGCCGTTTCCGGCGCCCTTCAACCTCTTTGCCTCCTCCATCATGACCCACCAACATCCCCTCCAGGGCGGTTGCTCTTGCGGGCGAAATCGCTATACCATCCAGATCCCTCAAGATGCCACCGAAAGTGCACGAGTCTTATTTGACAGCAGTGCCGTTGCACGTAGGTCCACCGTCAAGCTCTAATCCTCCAATCCCTCCTCCAATACTGGAGCTAATCTACCACCAATAGGCCGATCTCAAGCAGCTCCTCTTTCTGCGTGGCTCCGTGTGCCACTGACATGGTATCAATCAACAACTTACGCTTTCTTCGAAGATGAAAACCACTCTGCAATATACCGTTCCTACACCTCTCCACACGAGCAGGACGCCAAACGCAACTTCTGCGGCTTCTGCGGAACGCCTCTATCGTACTGGTCTGAATCGCCTGCCAGCGAGGCCGAATACATCTCTCTGACCTTGGGATCCTTGAATGGCTCTGATTTGCGGGATCTGGAGGAGTTGGGTGTTTTCCCTACAGAAGCCCTCGAAGATGCGGAGAGCGACAAGGAGAAGATCGAGAAGGCCGTCCCTATTGCTGGGAGTTACACTACGAGCGAGGGATTGCCGTGGTTTGAGACAATGGTCGATGGAAGTAGATTGGGCAAGCTGAAGAAGAGTAGTGGTCACCGCCAAAGTGGCAGATATAAGGTGGAGTGGGAAATTGTGGAGTGGACTGATGATGCGGAGGATGTGAATGTGAGTTCTTCGAAGAGGAAACTGGGCGAAGTGGAGGAGGGTGACTTTCGAATGGAAGGTACACAATGATTTGCATGAAGGTCTGCATGATGGATTACGATGAGATGACGATCACGACAAAAAGACTGGCAAGGGCCAATGCTATTAAAGGAAGTAGATGGTGTGAAGCTTTGCTTCTAGATGGCCTTGCTCTGCTTTCCTCAAGGCTTCATCTGGCACGTACGGCTCTACGGGATAACGGGGAAAGGCGAAGATGGGATGAAACCTGCTTGGAATGGAGTTCACGGATCATCATTTACATTCAAGTTCATAATCACAACGGGGCTTTGTACACCAGAGAAAAGAATATAGGACCTTAACCAACAAATGAGGAGCTATATGTCCAGCCCATACTTGTCACCGCTTGTCCGGATATCACGACCAAGGCGCCTCATCATGTGAAATGACTACTGCACTTTATGGATCTGGATTACACCCGAAGAGAAGCCGTTTGTCTTCTCCCGGCGGGTCCCAGGGCCGCTGTTCCATCCCCACACGAGTTGACTGGACCCTTTGGGCAGCGATACCAACCCCGCTATGCGCGCGCGGGGCACTTCACCCCGGAACATCCAGAAACGGCACCTGTACCTGCCTCTGTACGAGGCTGTGATACTCTTTCGGTCTATACGGTCCGAGAAGTAGCTTGTTTTCTTTACATTGCTCCAATCTATTAGATGGAACTAATATAACAGCACATTACTTATTGAAGGCTTCCCCAGGTCCTGTTTTTCTTTTTCTATCTTTTCTTCATTCTCATCTCAGTCTGTACTCCTAAAGCTTCAGATGCCTTGAATGCCCAGGTGATATCTGTACTACAAGTATTATTTACCTAGAAAGAGACAATAAAACATGACCACTCCAGTCCTTCCCAAAGACTTCGTCTGGGGTTTTGCAACAGCTTCGTAAGTCAACTGCCTTCATTTCTTTCGGTAACTGACAATCCATCTTCCCAGCTACCAGATTGAAGGCGCCCCAGAAGAAGACGCCGCGGCCCCTCCATTTGGGACAAATTCTGCAAGATCCCCGGCAAAATTGCAGACCACAGCAGCGGCGACGTAGCCTGCGATTCGTACCACCGTACCGGAGAAGACATTGCACTTCTGAAAGAGACCGGAGCACAAGCCTACCGCTTCTCCATCTCCTGGTCCAGAATCATTCCGTTGGGAGGAAGAAACGATCCTATCAACCAAGCGGGCATTGCATACTATGCTAAGTTGGTGGATGACTTGCTAGATGCGGGTATTGTGCCTCTGGTTACCATCTTCCATTGGGACTTACCTGATGAGCTTGATAAGCGGTATGGAGGCTTGTTGAACAAGGAGGAGTGGACGGAGGATTATGCGCATTATGCTCGTGTGCTGTTCGAGGCGTTACCTAAAGTCAAGTACTGGATCACGTTCAATGAGCCGTGGTGTAGCTCTATCTTAGGGTATAGCACTGGCTTGTTCGCGCCGGGACATACGAGTGATAGGAGCAAGAGCGACGTGGGGGATAGTAGCCGTGAGCCTTGGCTTGTGGGGCATAATTTCCTGATTGCACATGGGAAGGCCGTAAAGATTTATAGAGAGGAGTTCAAGCCTAAGAACGGAGGTCAGATTGGTATTACCTTGAACGGTACGTCCTCCTTCCCTCCTCTAACCCTAAATACTAACAGGCTGTCCATCCAGGCGACGGCGTCTACCCCTGGGACCCCTCCGACCCTCTCGACGTCGAAGCCGCGGAGCGCAAACTCGAATTCAGCATCTCCTGGTTCGCAGACCCCATCTACCACGGCCACTACCCCGCATCCATGATCGCGCAACTCGGGGACCGCCTCCCCTCCTTCACGCCCGAAGAGCTCGCGCTCGTGCAAGGCTCCAACGATTTCTACGGCATGAACCACTACACTGCCAACTACATCAAGCACAAGACGACCCCCGCCGACCCCGCCGACTTCCTCGGCAACCTCGAAACGCTCTTCGAGAGCAAAAACGGCGAACTCATCGGGCCAGAGACCCAATCCTTCTGGCTCCGTCCCAATCCCCGCGGCTTCCATGACTTAATCCTATGGATCTCGCACCGCTACAACAATCCGCCCATCTACGTCACGGAATCCGGCACATCTCTAAAAGGCGAGAATGATCTTCCCCTAGAAAGAATCTTGGAGGATGATTTCCGCGTCGCGTATTTCGATGGCTATGTCAGGGCGCTGGCGGATGCTGTAAGCGAGGGTGCGGATGTTAGGGGCTACATGGCGTGGAGTCTGATGGATAATTTTGAGTGGGCCGAGGGTTACGAGACGAGGTTTGGGGTTACGTTTGTTGATTATGAGGGCGGGCAGAAGAGGTACCCGAAGAAGAGCGCGAAGGCTATTGGGCCGCTTTTTGAGAGTTTGATTAAGAAGGAATAAGGTTATGAAGGAGTGAGTGAAATGATATGGGATGGATTTTAAGCGTAGCTCGGAAGTTGATAGAGAGGTTTTGATATAGGGCGGTAACCAGATTGTGAATATTTTCATAATCAAAAGTACTTGTTCCGAAGACATTTTATTAGGTATCGTGTGCTTTCCAGCATATATCTAGTCTTTACAAAGTGACAATTGACTCCCGTCATGTACCTGAAGCTCTCGGAGACGCCGCAAGCATTACCATGTATCGACGAGTAACTCCTGTAATACCACCCAGTACTCCCGCTCAACCATTGTAATCCAAAACATATTGCCTTGCGGGCGCCGCCGTGACTTGTTCAAACACCTCAAATTCTTCCCCGCCACCATCGGCGCTGTTGATATTCTTCTTCCCCTTATCCTTCCCTGCCCGCCTCCGAATTTTGGGTGCTGCACTAGCCTCCCTACTCTTTGATCGCGCAGGCTCGTTCTCCTTATCCGCACCAGCAGCTGATGCTCCTCTCAAACCAGAAGGTTCATCATCATCGCTCCCGCCACCAGAAGCCAGAACTCTGCGAGCAGCTGCCGATCTGTTGGCTGCAGTGTCGGCTTTCTGCTTCTCTCGTTCTCGGTCTGTCATGGGACGTGAAGGACCAGAAATGTTGGCTGCGATCGTTGCTTTCTTCTGTCTTTGAATGCCGGTTTGTTCGGCTTCATATGCTGCATCCTCGGCGGCGTGCTCCGCATCGATCTTTGCACCTTCTGCTTTGATAGCCTCCACGTCCTCAAGCTTCCTACCGGCGTATCTCTCCCAATCTTCAAGATTGATAGGGGCCTTCTCTCCTGTCAAGGCTTTGTTGATCCTGTCTGCATTATTCCGCTCCTCTTTGTTGAATTTCAACTTTATCATCCGTCTGGTCCGGGGCTTTAGCATGTTTGCAATCATCCTGAAATCCGTGCCAAATTGTCGAAGACCGTCGTAAAACAACTCTGTTGCTGCGTAATCCCACGATATAGCTTTAGCTCGTTTCATGTAGGTTCCAGAGGTCGTCAATTTCGAAAATTCATCTTCGTCAATTTCTTGGACATCTCCTGTAGCGACCCTTCCATTCTCATGCCGATCAACCATTGCCGTTCTGTCATCCACTACTAACTGACCGTCCACGACACGCATTTGAATACCAGCAGAACTGGCAACAGGCTCGACTTCCTGTCTGGGTGTGCGTGACGAGCCGAACACCGGTCCATCATCATCCGCGCATTGTGGGACTTCGCCGTTCAAAATGGCTGACATTTCCTTGATCTTCTCCTCCTTATCTTTGATTTTCTTGTCAACGATCCTCTGCTTGATCTGATCATGCCTACTGAACTTCTTTCCAGTCTTTACATCCTTGCAGAGATCTCCCATGGTCATGAGTCCCTGATCAATAATCTCATCCTCAGCACCTTCAGGTGTCACGGCACGCTGTCTTCTCTTCTTCTCTCCATCCTTTTTCTTCCGAGCTCTCTTAGCGCCTGCAGTTCGTCTTGGTCGGTTTATTTGCATGTCGACAGTAGCTCTGGCATCATCGCCTGCCTCTGCTGCCTGCACTTTCTTGCGCCTGATGATTGTCTTCTTCTTGCCCTTTTCGGTTCCAGAGGCAGGTTCTTCTACTGCTGCAGCTGCAGATCCATCAGGATTCAAACCAGCCATAGGCACAATCTGCGACACCTGTGCGGCTTGTCCAGTTTTAGCTCCAGAGTCTGTATCACCTGCTGCGCCAAGACCAGGAAGCTCTCCACCAGCAGCACCCATGCCGGGGCCGGCCGTGGACATGGCTTGCGCGCCATCAGGGCTTGGGTATCTAAATTGAGGCGGTTCAGGGTCGTTCTCGGGGGAGGTGGAACGCGATGGTATTGTATTTGAGATATCGGGTTGTAGGTCATTCTCAGAAGCTTCTACCTGAGGGGAAGGCGCTGAAATGGTAGGCGCTGGTGTGGGAAGTTGCAGGTGATTCTCGACAACTTCAATTTGGGAGGAAGCCGTTGATATGGTAGGCGCTGGTAAAGGAGATTGTGGTCGCGAGGCAGCATGAGCATTTGGATCGTCTTGATTGGTGAGTTGGGGATCGATTAGGGCGTCTCGAGTTGCGCGGATGGTTTGAGACTGCGGATCGTTGTAGTTCGTAGGGGCAGATGTGGTATTTTCGACTGAAGGTGGAGGAGTAGGTCTTCTCTTGGGAGCTGGCTCCGGGACCTCTTCATCTCGCGTCTTTCGCTTCAAATTTGAATTGGTTGATTCGGGGCTCAGGTCTGGTGCAGTCGCATCATCAATTTGGCGGGGTAGATGACTCGACTCTAATTGTGGAGGAGATTCAACACTGGGGACAGCATCTTGCTCGGTATTTGGTAGTGAAACTTCTTCCTCGATAATTGATGGTGTGGTATCTTCCGCTGGCTCTTCCAGAGCTGGAGTTTTCGATTGCGGTTCGACGCTGGGCCGGGCAGATGAGGGGTTTGATGCGGGAGTTGGTCTGCGACCCTTGAATTTGGGCGCAAACGCCTTGCTTCTATTCTTCAACATGATGAGGTTGTGTGCGAATTGTTTATGTATCTATCGCATTGCATGTCGTGAACGTGGGGTTGTGCGTGGCGGAAGTATATGTGGTTGGAAGAGAAGAAAGAAAGAACTGATTCAAAAAAAGATGGAGGCTCAAGAGTAAAACAGCAGCAAGGAGGGGGACTACATGTACATGCACCCCTGTCTTATCGCGGCTATGCCTGTTCTAGCCTAATGCTTTGTTGCACGTGCCTACGCTAACGACCACCCAAAAATCTTACAACATCCTCCTTGAATTCCAAGAGGATCTCCTCCCAAGAACAACCTCGCCACCAATCCACCACAACCAGTAACCAGCGCGTCTTCAGCTCTCCAAGGCTCGCTCATGTGTCAAAGCATCTCCTCAACCTGATGCCCTCTCCAGTCACTGTCTACTCCTCTCAACCTTCCTTCAATGTCAAGATGGAGGATAGGAAGAGAGCAGCCGGCGATGATCTTGCGCCGCCTACCAAGAGGCAGGCCGTAAATGGCAGCAAAGCCTCCGCAGATGCTGATATGCCATGGGCAAGCGATCTTGAGGTATGTAGAACTTTTCGATCTAGATATCGAGCGCAATGTGTCAACACGAGGCCACCCCTTTCCATCGTCAAAACTTCATGTGTCTTCGAGATGTCATGGATCTCTTCCCAACTCATGTACTACTGGTATGATCTGTCGGGCTACTGCTAATGCGCAGCTTGCTGTCATCAGCTTGCTCACCGCAGACCATATCACCAGCGTCGTACAAAATCTCGTACACATACCCCCCCAATCCATTCTTCATAAGCGCGATGGTCACTTTGGGAGCACAATACTGACACATGTCACGTTTTAGAAATACCAGAAAGATGCCATTTATCGTCAGATGCTTGAATACAAACGAGAGAAGGCTACGCTCGAATTACAATTGCGGGACATCCAGAAAAGATCACTGGACCATGACGATCACTTGAGAGTAATCGATGCATGGTGGACGCAGGTAATCTATTGCTATATGATGAGTTTTTGACGTTGTCTGACAAGCTACCAGTTGCTAGACGAAGTGAAACTCTTGGTTGAAGATCAGATACCTTCGGCAGACGATATTGAGGGTTAGTTGAGATATCCGACTCCAGCACACATCGCTGACCATGTCTAGGATCTTTCCCTACTCAGTTACAATTCAAAGGCAGCGAAGACTTCTCAAATCACCTAGCGTCCAAAGCAAAAGATATCAAATCAAAGATCCAGGCCATCTTCACCAACCTAAACTCTGCCCGTGGAAGACCAGCGTCTGATATCAAGGAATTTCAATCAAAACTTAACAAGCTTCTAGCTGCCCAAAAAGAATATGTGGTCAAAGTTGACAGGTTACGTACAGAGAAAGAAGAACTGGGCGAGCGATTGGAAACAGCTTCTTTACGATACATCAAGGCCGAAAAGAAACTGGATCGAGCCAAGAGTACTGCGGTTGCTAAGTTGGAACAACAAGCCATTGCTGGGACCGGAAATTCTGCAGGCAGCGGCATTGGAGGCGTTGATAGTAGCACTGACACTGAAATGACCAATGGTGTTTTGGAGGACAGCAAAGCATCGCAAACTGCTTACGAGGAGGCTTCCGCTGTTGTTGCCAAGCAGAAGGAACAGTTGGAAACTATCGTTGCCGAAAATAAGTTGCTGACCGAGCAGCTGACCGCCGCAACCACCCGATTTTCCAATCTCAACGAGGATGATTATGCACGAACTGAACTGTTCAAGCAATTCAGAGTTCAGCATGAAGATGTCATCCGACGTATCAACCACCTGGAGGCGACGAATATCCAACTGCGAGAGGAAGCGGAAAGATTTCAGGCGGAGCGTACGGCCTATCGCGTGGAAGTGGAGAATGAGCAGGAAGTTATAACTAGCGAATTGGAGAGCCAGATACAAAGAGTGGAAGCAGACTTGACGCGAATCCGGTCTGCCAGAGACGAATTACTTGCCGACCTGAGCATGCGGAAGGCTAGCCAAGACCACGATCTTACCTCGAGCAACCACTTGAGGGAGCTTATCACCGGAAAGGATGACCGTATCGCATCATTGGAACTGGAAGTTGAACGTTTGCGAGCTAGAACTGATGAAGGGGCGTCTACCCCAAGGCCGGAAATCGATTCCTTGAATTTGGAGCAACTGCGACTAAAGTATGAGGCTCTTGCGAGGGAGTTCGACTCAGTCAACAAGGAACTGCCAATTCTTCAATCTGCATACAAGCGTGTACAATCACTTTCTACCAAGAAGGTCATGGACTTTACTTCATTGGAGGAGCGAGTGCAAATCCTTCAAGCTGAGAAGTCAAAGGCAGACCAGAAGTATTTTGCGGCCAGAAAGGACATGGACACTCGAATTCTTGAGGTTAGATCGCTGCGAAGTCAAAATGCGAAGAGTTCCGATATCATCGCGCAATTAAAGGATGTTGAGACCTCGAACCGCACCCTACTCAGCAACATCGAAAAGCAATTAAGCGACACGAGACAGTCTAATACCACCATTGCAACGGAGAACAAGAAAATGGAAGCGGCCAGCCGGGAAGCTACGAGCAAAGTTGAGTCCTTGAAGAACCAGGTTACTGAACTTACGACTTTGTTGAAAACGAAGGACTCCAACAACTCGGCCACGAAGCAACGAATCCATACCATTGAGACGGAGTTGGAGCAACTCAGGGTCAAGTACGAACACGCGCAGAAGGATAGAGATTCTTGGAAGACCAAAAGTTTAAGTAACCAATCGGGTGAAGAGGAGATGCTCAGGGTATGTTATCCGTTGTTGTTCATGACCTTGCTAATCTGTTATAGACTCTTGCTCTATGCACCATCTGCCGAAAGGATTTCAAGAACACTGCCCTGAAGACCTGTGGGCACGTGTTCTGCAACAATTGCGTGGATGACCGTATCTCAAATCGCATGCGAAAGTGCCCCAACTGTGCAAAGGCGTTTGATAAAATGGATGTCATGACCGTGCACATGTGATTTTTGCAGCGCAGCGTTACAATTCGAATCCTTGGTTTATTTATCCACTTCTTCAAGGCGTTCAGCGAGACCTTTTATTGATGGTCGTGTAGGTTTGCATAAGAATGGGTATGGGTGGCTTTTCTGCATAATTCAGGCTCAAGGATCAGATTCTTTCCTCTTTGTACATCAAGATTTCATTTTTACGTCACAGCAGGCACGGCGACGTATATTACACTATTCCTTTGATTTGGAATGCCCAAGATGTTGGGTAGAGCAGTGTTTGTAGAGCTAAGATATACCACCACCTGCACAATTTTTCATGCCCCGAGTTTCCTATTATCTGCGTGATGTTGATCCAAACCCTGTACTTTCATGTCTAGGAGATGAGCTGGAGCTCGATCCGCTCCGTGAAGGACCAGCACCTCCCCAACCACTTCCCCCGCCGCTGTTCCTCCCACCTCCACCACCGAACCATCCACCTCCCTGCTGCACATCCGGTTGTCTCTGATTCCCCGCTCTACCAGCCATATACCCAGCCGCGGCCCCAGCTGCCGATCCGCTCCAGAACCCGGGCCTCCAGCCCTGCTGTTCCGTAGCCCCATACCGCTTCCCAGGATATGGGGGAGGGGGGTCATACGGATCATCTCCCCCACCACCTCCCCATCCTCCACCTCCACCTCCACCCCTTCTCGGCGCCCTCCCCGCCCCAGGCGCAGGTGCATCTCTAACCCCTGCATAAAGAGCCCAGCAAATCCACACCAACACGGCAACAAACAGCACCGTGAAAATAATCCCATCAATCGTCCATCCCTCCCCTTTCCCTCCACCGAACCAGCCTCCACCACCGTACTTCTCCTCCCCAGCCTCCGTATATAGGAGCCGGTACTCGACGCCACACGATCCTTTTAAGACGTAATCGTCGTCAGGCGAGGAATAGCCCTCGCAAATTACGTCTGTAGAGCCGAGTTTGAAGTCCGCGGGCAGAGAGGCGCTACAGGACCATTGAATGTCTTCGGTGTTGTAGTCTGCGCCGGCGTTTGTGCAGCGCATTATGTCTATGTGATGGTGTGCGCAGGCTGGGCCTTTGCAGGTGAGTCTTTTGTTTACATTTTGCGTTAGTATTGTTTTGGAGATGGTGGTTTTGAAGCTGGGGAGTTTGGGGGGAAGAGGGGGGTTTTACTGGGGAATAGCAGAGACGCGTCGATGTGATGTCTTTGCATTTTCGCGTAGAGTGAGGGATTTGACGTTTGACAGGAGGATGGCGTTTTTCGGGACTTTCTTGGGAGCGGCGGCTGAGATGGGGGAGGGTGTAAGGAGGAGGGCGAGGAGTGTGGGGGTAGAGGAAGGTGAGGAGTTGCATTTTAGTGGAGGGGGTTGGATTGTTATCTCGAGATAAATATGTGGGATTTATTCAAGTCATTGATGGAGATTTGGAGGCATTCTTGTAGTAATAACAGGTATAAATAGAGAGGACAGATTGCTTCAAACAGAAGGTTCGCGATGGATGATGTAGCTCGCCACCGATTGCTTGTTTTTTGCGTTGCCTTCTCAGCCTTGCGCCAATAGACCTCACCGCCTTTGATTCTGCCAGCCGAGCTCCTGAGCTTCACCTCGAACTGTATTTACTCCATCTACTCACTTCCGAACTTGACGAATCTCCTAATATGCGCCAACGAATCACTTTCATCCAACAGCCGCAGGACTCGGTCGACCCAAATTCGCTGAAAGTTACGAAAAATGACATTTCTACGACCGGCTTGAAGGCTGCAAGAGAGGACCGCGTGACGTTTGGCTTTGAGGAGCTTCCACAGGAGTTGTATAAGGTCTTGAAGGCTACCCATGAGTTGCATATAAGATGGGTCAGCGAGAGTCCGTATGAGAGTATTGTGCCGTTCGTCTCGAGGGTCTCACCGGGTTTACATGTTTTTTATACGCCGCAGAGGAATAGCAATAATTCGTAGGTTGGATTCCAGTAGAGGGGAATCTTGTTACTAAGAATCGCAGGAGTCTATTATGTCCGGCGTTGAACAAAGTGTTTGGGGAGATAGATTGTATATCACCTGAAGTATATTACTCTCTTTTAAAGGGGAAGGCAAATACTAACATAAATAGAAATCATTTACAACCCTGCCCATCGAACGTTTCTCCCACTCCTCCGCAACGCAGTACTACACTCCCCTCCCACATCTCAACACCTTCATCCACTACCTCATAAACAAACTCTGCACCCCCCAAAACGAAAACCTAGCATGTCTCTTGCGCGTCGAACTCATCCAATCAGCCTCCTACCTCGATATAGACTTCGACACCATCTCCCACGCCCTCTCCATAACCGCCTTCTGGCCCCAGCAAACCTGGTCTTCCCTCTCCCTCCCTAACACACCCTCAAACCGCCTCGAAGTAGGCATCCTATCCATCCAGGCCCCCCAAGCCCCCGAAGAGCTTTCCCTCGGCGGTTTCCTCACCGTAGTAGGTGAAGACGCATCGCCTTCCCCCACACTCTTCTCGTTCCCCGCACGCCACCACCCCACGTCCCAGTCCTTCACATCTTCTTTCCTCCTACCCTCAGGCCTACACCCCACGCTGCAGTTGCGGATAAGCGGGAGCGAGAAGCCGGTAGATGGCGCGGCTTGTGCATTACACGCGCATTTAACACTCCCGAAGACCGTGTTTGCAGATAAATACCAATTCGACGACGCGCTCTTCCTAGCCTCGAAAAACCTCTCCGCCATGCATTACATTTCCCCGGGCGTTGATCTCGAAGCTCCCGCATACACAGTCCCGCTCTGGGGCTCCTCATTACTCCTCGAACTCTCTCCACCTGTAGCAGAGGACGTGGAATGGACGGCAGAAGTGCCATTGCATTTACGGTATTTAGCACCGAGCGAAGGAGGCGTGCAGGAGACTCATATCCCGGCTCCAGTGCTCTTCTGGGCGTGTACGGCGGAGGAGGGGAGTAAGTTTACGGTGAATCCTTTCGAGAGGGTGGATTTGGGGTATGAGGGGCTCTTTGGACCCAGGACTATGTTTCATCATTTAGATCCCGAATCTGAACCTCAAGCTTCGACTGTACCTGCAGGAGGAAAGGATGTGCATGGAAGTGGGAATGGAGGCAGGCTAGTAAACATTCTCCAAGTCCCGGTACTGGATTTCCAAAAAACTGCGTATGTGGAGTTTGGCACGGCGACGGTTGTGCTAGCGGGCTTTGCGTGGGTTTGTTGGTGTTTGTGGCGGGTTTGGAGCGCTGGTGGGTATAGAAGGACGAGGGAGAGGGCGGCGGTGGTGGTAGGAGGGGGGGAGAAGAAGATGCAGTAATGAGGGTTATATATAGGTTATTGATTAAGCACCGAGGAGGTGGAGCTGAAAGGGGGATATCTATCTGGGAGATGATGGTAATGAATCAGTATACTTGAATCTTTCACAAATCCCAACCAGGACTTTCATATTCGTCGATGCGACTTAATGAAAGACACTTGATGAAAGACACCCACTCGAAAATAGTAAGGATTTGAACAATCTCGTAATGGCATGATCGCGTGAATTCAAGGATCATCTATGCATCTATACCTGGGTATCCCTAAGACACGTGACCCGCCCTTAAGATCTTTCATTTCCACTGCTTATATACCGTTACAACCTAGTCCAGGGCAGTCCAGCCAAAAGCACAAAATCCAATCTAACGCATCTTAATAATCCAAACCGCCAAAACTCCCGCTCTGCACAATCATCCTGTCCCTCTCCTCCCTATCTCCCCCCGCGCCCTCCTCAAGCACACTCTCGGCAGGAATCTCAACCTCATCCCGTATCCTACTCGTCAGAAAGGCAGCAACAAGCGTGCTGAGCCCGCCCGCAGCAAGCACAATACTAATACTCCTATCCCCCGGCACGCCCCGCGGCTTCTGCAGGAACTTGAAGATAATACTGCTCCCGATCGTCGCGACGATCTGCGGGCTCGCCACAGACATGTTATGAATGCCTAGGATGATGCCCGCCTGGTCTTCCTCGCTCTCTTTGATGCTGTTCCCGCGTGAGCGCCGCAAGGCGTCGCGTTTCGATACTTCGGCCGAGATGATGGCAAATGGCGCCCAGAGCGTGAGCGCCCACGGAATGCCCACGATGCCAATGATGGCCGTGGCGCCGCCGGTGGAGCGCACGAGAAGGGTGCTGAACATGCAGGCTGCGAAGACGCAGTGGGCGAGCAGCCAGGCGCGCCGGAGGGTTAGCCAGGGGATGACGAGTTTGTCGAGGATGCGGGACGTGCGCGTTGAGTATGATTTCTGGGATGCGCGGGAGGAGAGGCGGGGTTGGTCGTAGGAGGGCGCTACGATGAAGGGGAGTAACATGTTGGTTGAAAGGGAGACGATGGCGTAGATGAGCAGAGCGAACGTTCCTACTCTCGTGGCTTTCGCGTATAGGTGGTCGATTTCCACGGGTGTCATGTTTGGATTCGCTTCGAGGTATGGCTGCACGTATATATCTCCTACATAAGAGCTAGAGTAGAATAGTTGCGGGAAGAAGCCGATCCAGGCGAAGAACTGCACTTCGCAAACTTTTCGCGTCTGGGGTGGCAGACGTCGGATGGAATGGAAGACTTGCTTGAAGAAGGCGACGAGGCCGCTTTTGCCTTTTGCGGGGGGTTCCTCAAGGCTGGCGTCCCGCTCGTGGACGGTTCCTATACTGAGCGCGACGGTGCTACCGAGTGCTACACAGGCTATTACGCTAAGCACTTTGAATTGAGTATTTCCAAAGAACCAGACGTATTTTGGGAGGTCTAGATATCCGGCTACATATCCAACGATGCTGCCCATACCTGTGATTCGGCTTGCCATGGCATTCGCGGTCTCCTGTTGATGACTTGGACAACAGTCGAGAATAAAGGCTCTAATCCCAGCTTGCACTACGAAGAATCAGTACCAGATTGGGATGGTTGAAGGGAGTGCATACCTGTATTAATAGCAAAATCTAGCAAGTACACAAATAAAACTGCAACTATAATGATAGTGGTTCCAACTCCGTTGGACTCTCTATCGGCACCGAATAGTCCTAGAAGACCACCAACAATCTCTCTCACCCACGCAAGAGCAAGAAGAGATATTATTGTAGCCGCAGCACCAACTGCCATGAACGGTACCCGCTTCCCCCATTTCGACCTGCAATTATCACTCAACATGCCAACATAAGGCTGCACCAGTGCTCCCGACAAAGGCCCAGCTATCCAAACCAAAGCCATCAGCGACTTGCTCATCCCCAGGGACAATAGGTATGGCGTCCCATTTGATATTTCTACTGCCCATGCCAGTTGTAGACCTCCGATACTGATTGTAAGAAGTACCATGTACCATAACCCCTTCGACTCCTGTTCGTGGGAATATTTATGGGGGTCGTCGTCTAGGGAAGCAGGGTCTTCCATGAGCGGACCTTCCTCTTCATCTTCATCGGAGGCGGAGAGGAGGGGCGATTCTTCGTTGATGGGTCTAGAGACTCGTTCTGTGGCGGGCGTCTCGAGGGAGGGCTTCGATTGCGGCGATTCGGCCGAGCTTGGCCGTTGAGGGCTTCTTTCATTTTCACTCATCTTGTCCTACCGAGGTGGTGGAAGCGGTGGAAAGGTACGGGGTTCCAAAAAGTTGGTGTAGCACAGCGCAAGTAGCTCGTACTCGCAGAAGGTGAGGCTATCTATGGTGTACAAGTAATGCTCTGCACTCCCGGAGGGGAGGGGTAATTGTAGTTTTCTTGCTCAGCCCAACAGCCGTATTGTTGAGTCAAAGGGAGTACAGCAGAAAATAAATGTGTTCGGCGTTCACGGGTCGCAGAGCATCACGAGGTTGTGGATGTTGCGCGCAGCTGATGGTGATGGCGATGTGATCTTGGTATTAGTCGTCTCGGCCCGCTTGGTATCTGCGCAACACTTGGTTATGTAAAATGGAAAATAATGGCAATGGCAATGGCTCGTGGCCTCATGGCCTCATGGCCTCATGGTGAAGATGTTCGTATGAAGTTCAAGATCATATACAAGTACCTGGCAGTAGCTCCATGTTTGCACAAGGTAAGGTAGGTGTAGGGTAGTGTCACGAGTGGGGAAGGAACGGACTGAGGCTCAATTCGGCATCAGGCCAGACCAGGAAGGACCTTTGAGAATAGGCCGGACGACAACGACAGACTGTCCTGAACCTCGTCTTGTAGTATTACTTGAAGCTGCACTCAAATCACAACAATCGTTTCCTTGAGCTCAAATCCGCGAAAAGCTCCAAATTTCTCAGCGCGTCTTTTTGTCACATCGATTCTCTACACAAGCTTGTTGGGGTTGCATATCTGGTCGCTACTTTAGTCGATTGCACGGCTGAGCTACTGTTATCAGTTCATACCAAGAAGCTTCGGGTTCTTCGCGACAATTACATGTGTCCTTCCCTTTCGCGCCGCTGCTCGCCGTGAGCCAAGCCACGAGCTGAACTCTCTTGGATTTGCGACTGCGATTCCGATTGCGAAATCATCACCTACGAGAGCCCACCATGTCTGCCGCAATCGCCGGCGTGGCCTACGAGCTGCTGAGTACGTTGCGACTCCTGAACTGGAAATGATGGACATGGACTGATGGTGTGCCTTTACAGAGCGCGCAGAAGAAGACGATGATCCAGAGGGTAGGAAAGCACCTGAGGGACGGGTGGATTGAAGGCTGACAGGGAACAGGTCCAGATACCTCCCAGAGGGAGATCTTCTCCTCGTGGGCGCTCTTCATTATGATTATGCTGCTTATAACAGCACTTTTTACAAGTTACATTCTTCAACAGAAGAAGGTTGAAGCGGTACACGAAACAGTAATATCGATTTTTGCTGGTAGGAAGATACCCCGAGGTCTGCGATTCCTTCTAACATATCCTAGGTATGACAGTAGGTCTGGTCCTCAGAGTGAGCTCTGGTACTTCCATACAGAACCTCGTCAGTTTCGATTACCAGATATTCTTTAATCTCCTCCTGCCTCCAATCATTCTTGCCTCCGGCTACGAACTACACCAAGCGAACTTCTTTCGGAATATCGGGACAATCCTAACATTCGCGTTCGCTGGGACGTTTATATCTGCAATTGTACTAGGTTTGATCCTATGGGTCTATACCCGCATACCCCTCGATGGGTTCGAGATGACTTTTGTCGATGCTATTTCCGTTGGAGCAACTCTATCGGCTACAGATCCGGTCACCATTCTCGCCATCTTCAATACATACAAAGTCGATCCGAAACTATATACCGTCATTTTTGGCGAGTCTATCCTCAATGATGCCGTCGCTATTGTATTGTTCGAGACAGCGCAGAGATATAAAGAAGGTGGCGCGGCTGGAACACTCACATTTATCAGTCTAATCGAAGCTATCGGCATTTTCTTCGCCGTTTTCTTTGGAAGTTTGATTATTGGGGTGTGCGTTGGAATTGGGACAGCTCTTACTCTAAAATACACCTATGTCAGAAGGTTTCCGAAAATGGAGAGTTGTATGATCATTTTGATTGCATATGCCAGCTATTTCTTTTCAAACGGCTTGCACATGTCTGGTAAGTTGCTTTCATCTAATGTCTGTACCGCGCTAATATTTACAGGAATTGTCACTCTTCTTTTCTGCGGGATCACTCTCAAACACTACGCTTACTACAATATGTCCCGGCGAACTCAGCTTACTACCAAGTACCTATTCCAGGTCTTGGCACAATTGTCGGAGAATTTTATCTTCATCTACCTTGGACTCTCCTTATTCACGGAGAGCAAATTTCAGTTCAAGCCACTATTTATCATTGTGACAGTTATTGGGATTTGCGTTGCGCGATGGGCAGCGGTGTTTCCCCTCTCGAAGTTAATCAACTGGTTCATTAGGTACCGTGCAAAAAGACGCGGCAAGGACGTTGCAGATGAACTACCATTCAGTTATCAAGCTATGTTGTTCTGGGCTGGATTACGTGGAGCAGTCGGTGTGGCTTTGGCAGCCGGAATGACCGGTGAAAATGCCTGGGCATTGAAAGCGACTGTTTTAGTCGTAGTGGTGCTTACAGTCATCATATTTGGTGGTACTACAGCCCGTATGCTAGAGATTATGGGCATTCGAACAGGTGTGATCGAAGAAATTGATTCGGATGATGAATTCGACATTGAAGCAGTTCCAGGAGGTTCCTACTACAAACATTCTGGAACCGGAATTGGTAACATTCCAAAACGAAACGGCTCAACAATTGCCCTGAACGGCCTTAATGCACAAAACCCCGAGAGAGGAAGCTACGCCAGCGGGAACTCAAGCCCCGCCAACAGACCAGCGAGTCTAAGCAGGAAAGGATCTAAGAGTTCCAAGAATGGGCGGAGAGGAGACAGTGAAAGCGAGCAGGATCTCCTCAGAGCAGACATCGACAATGAGTCTGATATTGATAGCGACACATCAGACCTTCCTCCCGCTGTAAAGCGCTCCCCAAGCGCGCGCCCTACACTCGAGTCAGACGATGGTACACCTTACCCAACATCCGGGAGCACGAGCCACGATGTATCCCACATAACCGCCTCGGGTGCATTCAGCCAGCTCCTTCACGGCACGGCCGAAGATCACGCAGCGTGGTTCAAACAATTGGATGAGGGTTTCATCAAGCCGAAGCTGCTGCTTGATGGCGGCAAAGGGCCGCACGGTGGGCCGAGTGGGAGTTGAATAAAAGCGTTGTTGTCTTTGCTCCAAGTGCTGGATGGATGGGACAGGCCGGGCATTTGGTGTGGAGTTTGGGTGTACAACAGGAAACATATCTTTTTTGGCTTGTGTCGTTCGCAATATTATAGAATAGAGACCTTTTCTCCGCGATCTCCTTTATGGAAGTCATATTTGAATAAAGGCTGGGCCCCCTTTCCTCCCTCGCGAAATGTCTAGTAAAGCCACATGTGTGCTTGCTCATAATTGCAATGCTACATTGTCTGTCTATATTCCCAGGGGGGTTATCCGCGATATTAATGCCTCTTCGATGAGGATGAATGAAAGAAAGAGAGACTAACTGAGGGATCTGTGAGTATAGGCCCGGATTGTTTCGGGATTCGTAGGAAACAGAGGTGAAAACCAACTGAATTCGTAGCCCTACAGCGCGAGATAACAGGTAGGCAAAGGAAGGAGTAGAACTATACGCGTAGAAAAGAAAGAGGAAGACGACGACAACGAGGCATATGTATAAAGAGAGATTCGAAGTCGCAGCCCAGCATGCAGGTCTTGAGCTATCCAGGACCATGACCATAGCGTCTCGCTCCGCGCTTGAATTCTACGACCTCAAAGATGGCCTTGACAGCCTACCAACTTATGGGGTCCCGGAAGAGATATCGATGTGGTGTTGTCGGTTTCGTATAGTGAGACTAGTCTAGGCGTCATATTGTTGGCTCGCTGGCTCGGTCGCGGGTTCTAGGGAACTTTCTGGCCTCAGAGGTCAAGTGAGAATCTAGAATTGGGAAGGGGATCGCTCCGTAGGCAGCAGGACCCGGCGAAATACTGGGAAGATGTGAAGGGCATGATTGAGGATTCTATCAAGGCTGGCGAATTTGTTGACTGGGTTATTCTCCTGGGATTCGAGGGGGCTGACGAAGAAGAGGAACTTCGACGGATAGTAAGAGTTGTTATGGAGAAACACAAACCGGAAAGAGGGCTAGTGTCTTTGAGAAGTGAGACGAATAACGATTCTGGGGAGCTTGTTTGCTGTTACAAGGGGTGCTGCTATGGTGGCTAGATGAGGTATGATAGATGGGCTTGATGCTTACATTTGCCTGATCACTGCGAAATGGACCAGGAAGAGGAAGAGGAAATGAACAAGAAAACAATAGCTAGAGTCGATAAGCCAGTAATAAAACTGGAGCTTTGAGAATAGCAAACAAGGAATCTAATAGATAACCATTGAGAACTCTCTTGCGGTCCTCGAACCTAGTTGAATAATGAGTTTGCTATAATATTTCAATAATGGCGATTTCAACCCAATCGAGTTTCCCAAGAGCATATACTCAAGCATAGATAGGTAGTGGAGGAGGTCACTTTCAAGGATCTTATAAATGGTACAAGTAGAAGTAAGGATAAATATAACTAAGTGGTAATACGAGTTGAGATGTGAGGTATGGAGATAAGTAGCACTATTAGTGAATTCATTTACATGTTTGCTGCTTTCAGTTGTATTATCCCACTGTTAAGAATATAGCCCGAATGATTCACGCGGCACACGAATTGCCCGAATGACTCACGCGGCACACGAATTGTGCCACCATAGCTACCTATACCTAAATAGACACGCATGCAGGACTCAATTTCTCTACCACCTTCTCAAAAAGTGATGCCTGTTCTAAAGGTGACCACAAACCTGTTTCATATTATATAAATAAGACTGTTAGCTTGCGAAGAGGCACTATATATTCTGCATGATCAGTCGCCAGCCATCGTTCCAACAACTTATATCGGATTGACTAGTCTAGCCTATATCTCACACTTTTCGACTTATTATCACTAGAAATGTCGGCAACTCAAGCGCCATCAGCTCCGCAAATCTCTCGAATAGACTTTCAGCATCCGTCTACAAACCCAAATTCCAACCCCTATCCGTCCCGACTCTACTTTGCCGCTATTCCACCACACGGCTCGGGATCAGCAATACCCGCAAAAGCAAACATAGCCCTCGAAATAGCAGTAGAGGAAGATAATAACAGACGACCAAAACCTGATGTTCTCCTCACGCACGGCGCAGAATCCCAGCTGGACAACCCTGCGTTAGATGCTTTTGCCGAAGGCCTTGCAGCAACTCATGCAGTCCTCTGCTTCGAAGACCGAGGAAGTGTAGAGCAACGTGCTGCTACATTCAAATCCCTCCTGGCCGATTTCCCTTCTGTCATTGCTTTTGGCGGGAGGAGTAAGGGTAGTGTAGCTGCTGTTGGAGCATCGCTTGATGCAAATGTGAAAAAGCTCATCCTATTTTCATTGCCACTTTCATTTAAGAGGGATTTTGAGCCAGGCCGAAACCTGCTTCACCTTCCACATGATCTGCTTCAGCTTCAACAGGATGTTGAAGTGCTAGTCATTGGAGGTGAAAGAGACGAGTTGTGTCTCTTGGAAGATCTCGCGGATATTAGGAAGAGGATGAAAGCGAGAAGCTGGTGGATTCAGATCCAAGGTGCAGATCACGGTATCAGATTTGACATGGAGAAAAGGAGAGCAGTCTGCGAGTTTGCGGGAAAGATTGCGGGGAAATGGTTAAGCGGAGATGTGAGTGCATTTAGTAAAAGTGAGAAGACGGCGGATATGCTGGTTGGTTGGGACCAGAGCGGAAAACAATTTAACATTATCTGAAGGTTGTGTTGAGCTTTGTCATTGGGGTCAAATTGCGCAGACACTGCTTCGGTACTTTATAAATATTAATGATCGCTTGTTTTGAACTATGAAATCGAACAGAAATTATAGTTGGCTATCTCTCTTTACTCGACTATTAGTTGATTGCAGCGCTTTAAACAGGATGGGTGGGGTGGGTCAAAGGGTAGCAGAGGGGTTGGTCGTACATGTAGGCTGAAAATATGAAATTCTGTTTACTTATAGGATCGGCACCTATATGAATGTTAACTTAGAAATGGTTTTGATGATATGCTTTTGTGTTCTTAAAAAGTTGTAGTGCATTTCGTTATACCGTGTAATATAAGCGGGCTTAGACCAGGACGATAGAACACCGGCGTCTAGCAACAGCTTCACAACGGTCGCATGGTTTCCCCTTGCCGCTTCACGAATGGGCGTCACACCTCGAACATCTTCAGCATTGGCGATTGCGCCCCCTTCGAGGAGAAGGGCGGCCATTGAAGTATGACCTCGTGTGCAAGCCCAGTGTAATGGCGTGCGGTCTTCGCCATCACCAAGATTCACCGAGACACCTTCTTCAATCAATGTCCTGGCATATGTGATAAGACCAGCGAAAGCGGCAATGTGTAGAGGTGTTGGCACAGACTTCTGCCCACCAATCCACTCGAGCTCTAACCACGTCCTAAAATCTACACTATTTGGATCCAGGAACTCGGCAACACAATGGTAAAATTCTTCGTCCTCAACATCATACTTGCTGGCATGAAATGCCCAATTAGTAACCGCATATTCCAGAAAAGGATAGGGAAGTTTTGCCTCTTGGTAGTCATATTTCTCCTTTCTCTTGTTTCTGCGGTCTGAACAAGAGGGCCACTGGAAACAGCTGGCATCGTCCTGAGAGTTTTGGACATTTTCCATTCTGAGGGCACCGGATCTCAAATAATCCAAGCATGCGACTGATAGCTTGTTGTTAACCCTTTCAGGGTCAAGTACGGGAAACTGTACAGGTTGACCGGGGATTTCATTCTGGACTCATTCCTTATTGAGAAGAAATTCGGTGAATGAATGGTGAATGACCTGAACTGTCTCGTCTTCCGAGATCTCGAGAAGCGGGGCACATGCGGACCTCGCAATAAACTTCGGGTTTTCCGGTATCATAGAAGGGGGAAAGGTGGAAGCGAGAACGCTCGCAAGCTCATTCAATCGTAGTGCTCGAGACGAATGTGTTGCCCACTATAGGAGAAAGACTTGCACTTGAGTATTGATCTTAAGGGATTCGGCTTGTTGGAAAAGCATACTATTGTACATTTGCTCCAGTCCGACTGGAAGACTTTTCGCTAATGTCTCGATGTCTCGTTGCTTTGATCTAAGAACCGGTGTGATTTGATCTAGGAGAAGTCGGGCATAGAGAAATAGTCCGCGGGACCGCTCTGTTATAGTTAATATCAAGGACTCTTTCAATCTTTGCTGATCGTTTCCGGGAATAAGATTGTTGAGGCGATGTAATATGAAGAGATTAATATCCTTGCTAACTAGATCATCTTCGAGGGTGATATGAACAATTGAGGGTTAGGGTTAGGGGGTTTATATTTACTATCTAAACAATACGTAGTAGCACGCTATAATATTAAAGGTCTCCAAGTCTGCATTTTATAAATAGCTGCTTTATAAACTAAGCCTTATATAAGTCTAAGAATCCTATTAATACTTCTTATAGTTTAATTAATAATATTAAAGTTTATACTAATCCTAAGATAGTAATAGTTAATAAAGCCTATTATTAGACTAATATTATTTATAGTAGTAATACCTATCTACTACTTATAAATATAAGAATCTAAAAAATCTATTCTATTTTTCTATAGAGTTATCTAAATAAGTATGCCTAAGAGTTACTCTCTATTATTAGAGTAGTGTCACAATCACGAATCCTCGAGGGCATAGCCTAGTATAAGGTCCAATCAAATATAATTCTAAGCTAAAGAGAAAAGAAAGAAAGTCTAGAATATAGATTATAGAAGCGAATATGTATGCGCTCGGCTAATTAGGGTTGTGGCTAGGAAAGGTGTGGCTGGTAATCGGGTGGCTGGTTAAGCGAGAGGCTAGTGCCACGCCGATGTGCCGACGTTACGTGATATGTCAGGTGACAATATCCGTGACAAAAGCGGTCTCGGTTTCGGAATATACTTAGGAACCTTTAATATTATAGCGTATTGCTGCGCGATATATAGTAACAAATATGAACCCTCTAACCCTAATACTATAGAGAATAGACAAATGCAAAGTCAGGTTAATCTAGGGATATCTAGGCTAGGTTCTTTAATTAATATCGAGCAGCAAACTCTTAATGCTATGTACGGTCGCAAAAATGCAATCAACTTCAAAGCAAGCGTTCTCCCAGATTATTGCGCAGCTGGTGCAGGCAGTTCCAACATGCGCTTCAGGATCTCATCATCGCTAGGGTTCCCGGCCCCTTTAACCTTCTCATACGCCGGCCAAAGTATAGTCTTCTCGATTTCAGTATATTTGCCATCACAGACAAACACGACGTCTCCCTGCCTGGATACATCGACCATCAGATATGCAGCAGCACGCGCGACCACTAGACCGGGCTGCGACTGGTGCTTGGCTCCCTTCATGAGCCCCGGAAGATCTGGGAGGAGGTTGGTCGTCGTCCATGATGGCATGAGAGTATTGATGCGAATTGGAAGCCCCGCAACCTCCATGAGCCGGGCATAACCTCTCCCGAACCCCAGAACACCATGTTTGGCCGTGGCTATATCAATCCGTAAGCTTGAAGTTCGTTCGCGACATAGTACTTGCTTCTCTACTTACAGTAATCGGGAGCTCGGAGGGGCTGCAAGCCAGTGCTGGAGCCCATGAGCACAATACTACCTCCTTCAGGTTGCTGTTTCATATAGTGAACACCCAAACAAGCGGTATTCATGGCTCCTTTCAACATGACGTCCAAGACTAGGTTGTTGGGCTCAATCAAGTCCCCCTTCTCATCTGTTTCAATGGCCAAATAGTTGGCGCGTGGTCCAACGCCGGCGTTGGCGAAAACATAATCGATACGGCCATATTGTTTCTTTGCTTTCTTGAACAATGCACTCAGGTCCCTCCAGCTGGCGACGTCGCTTTTCACGAACAAAAAGGCGGAAGTAGGTGACTCGACTGGCTCGGTGAGATCTCCGCTGACAACTGATGCTCCTAAGGATAGCAACAGCTTGACTGTTGCTAGACCTATACCTGACGAACCGCCTGGAATAACCCAATTAATCCATTAGCTCGGGTCAAATATGTTCATAAATAGCTCGCCAAGCGGTGTAAGAGGTGAAATTGCCATACCTGTGACGATAACAACTTTGTTCTTCAGGCTTACCAAGTCCTCGTCCTTGATAACAAATTCGGCCATGATGAAGGTTTGAAAGTGAATTTCTAGAGCACCGGTACTGCTGGTAAGTGCAAGGTACTTCAGCCGATAGTTCGAAGGAAGTTTAAGAGATAAAGGTTTTAGAAGACAGCTCGCTTAAAAGTCTTAGGACTTGGGAAGTTGGGGGGGGGTTCCAGATAAGATGGACCTCGGATCGGGCCTTTCGGCGTACAATAGGGTGCAAAAAGTTTGAACCCATGTCTTCAAGGCTAGTCTCAGAAGAGTCAAGCGGTTATTGCGCCAAGAAGACCAGGGCAGAGGGGGGCTTGCTTTAGTGCTTTTACTATTATTATTATCCCTCCTGCCCCCATTTTCTTGGCGCAATAGTTACGCCTGTGACGAAGTACTTCTCAAGACTAACACTTGGGTAAACTCCGAATGGCATCTATCTGACGATTAGTGATCATGTTATACCGGACTAGGACCTCGTATGCTGTTCAAGATAGAAGTCAGACTTCTGGTCTCTTGCTTAAGGGCCGTCTTTGAAGATCGTTGCTATACTTTCACCGGCTATGTCCCCCCCATTGTTTTACTTTCTTCGCGGGCCGCGGCTTCTACGTCCGGAGCCGTCGCTGGTGTTGGAAACGGGGGAAGTGGAGTTGGCATTGCCGTTGAGATAGCCGAACATAAGAATCGCTCAATTGGGACGTATTTCATTTCTTGCCTCTCTTGCCTTCGACCCAAGTAGAACTCTATTATACGAAGTAATACTATAGAGTGTTATCACCTAATCTGCAATCCAAGAGTATCGTTTAGGCTTTGCTAGGAGTCAAAACTTGTATATATTTTTCAAGGTCTATTATATTCCTATCTGAATTCTAAAGGATTGAATAGCAATTAAGATAGTAGTAGGATCATATAGGAAATCTAGTTTTATAATACTAAAATTTTCTAAAGCTATTTTAAAGCTATTTTGCTATAGTTTTCAAGTACTTTTCTAGTTACTTTTATGAGTGAATAGACCTGCATTTTAAGCTCTATATACTTACTTCTATAGTAGTTTCCTCTTTATTGAAAGTAAATTAGTATAGTAGTAAAAAGAAGTGAAGTAAAAAGTATAGCTTTCGGCTTAGGATTACTAAAGCTATAGGGGGTTTAAAAAGCGCATGATTAGACCTATAAAACGCTATATGATCGACGTTTTTTAGCGTAGACTTAGTGAAACTACGAAAAGTTGCAGATTTGGTGACAACACCCTGTACCCGCGCCCCCGGGTAAATTAAAAGTGGTTGTGTGGATTCATGGGACTGGGTCTGCTGTGGGACCCCACTAGGCTCCCTGACGAATCATATTCTGCGCTTGTACTCTCCTCTCTTCGAGACTCGCCTAAACAAGGGCTTCCAAGGGCCGCGGCCCAAACAGACCCACCTTTTGACATGTACCGGCACGGGAGAGTATCTCCAAATTCGTGTTGTGGACCATGTTAGTGCGTTTTCAACCTGGCAGACCACAGCCTTCCAGCTGCTTTCATCCACAAGACGATGTCGAATGTCATAGTATTCGAGTAACGCCATACGGCCTCATTTGAGGGGTTCTAGACAAGATCTACCTTCCAACACTTGTTGGTTGGACATTCTCTTGGCCGGACTTTTATTAGTTTCTTGATGCCCTCCAGCTGAGAGACGAAGAAGAAGAAGAAGGAGATAGAGAAGAGAGAGAACGGGCCACTTATCTTTTCTTTCTCGGCACGCATCATCTTCTTAATCCTTTAGGCTATCTTTTTTCTTTCTAACTCTTCTTTCTAACGCTGGCCTGCTGCAATCATGGTCCAAGTTCCACCGAGAGGCGATGGGATCGCCCTCTTGTACACGTCAATCGTGCTGCTGGCCCTCAGTTGGGTCACATTCGTATCACGGGTAGGAGTACGGGTATGGAGACGAGCCTTGGGGTTGGATGACTTTGCGATGTTCATAGGTATCGTATGTGTGCAACTAGCTTCTGCTCCCCTTAGGAACAATGACCAAGGTCCTAACGCATCCGCAGCTACTTTTCACGGTCACAGCCTGTCTATGTATTGTGTGCAGCTTTTACGGATCTGGCCAGTTGGCTGCGGACCTGCCGGCCAGCACGAAGATGAAAGGGACTAAGGTGTGTACTCGTTCTCGCCTGCTCCCATTGCAAGTCTGGCACAGGAAGATTGACCATCTCCAATAGTTGTTCTTCATCGCCGAGATGTTCTACGCATCCGGTGCCGCCGCGATCAAATGCAGCATCGCTGTTACTCTCCTCCGTATTGCGGACACTCGCCGCAACTTTGTCTATTGCATTTGGGCCATCATAATCTTCTCAATACTATCTTCGGTCATATTCATCATCGGCGTGGCCAATATCTGTCACCCAATTACTACATTATGGGGCGAGACTACGACCGGATCATGCAACTTCAAGCTGAACAGCGATGTTAGCTTCTTCTTCTCTGCTATTGAGATTACAACCGATTGGGCATTGGCAATCCTGCCTGCAGCCCTGCTGTGGAAAATTCAGATGAAGAGTAGGGTCAAAGCCTCGGTAGCTGGTATCCTTGGAGTGGCTGCTTTGTAAGTACCAACAGTACATGCTTGTCTATGATTACCTTTCCCCCATTGCAAACTTGGATGTATAGTAGACTTACTCTTCTCTAGTGCAAGCTGTGCAACCATCGTCCGACTCCGCTTCCTGAGTCTGTACAGCAACCCTTCCGAATTCATGTTCAGCACAGGAAAAATCGGCCTCTGGTCCGTCATCGAAGAAGGTACGGGAATCTTCGCTGGCTCGCTCCCTGCTCTTCGCCCACTCCTGAACCTCCGTTTGCTCAACGGCAGCGGCTCCCACGGCGGCAATTCTGCCTCGGCAGGCCAGCATTTTAACAAGCCGAGGACGGGTAGACATTACGCGTCTGCGGACGTCAAATTAGATACTTTCCAGCAGCTGGACGACAAGGATGAGGATGGAGATAGCCAGAAACATATCCTGAAGGAAACGCACGTCACGGTAACGACCCAGCAGTCTGGTTCTGCCGGGGAGTGGGAAAGAAACCAGGTCCTGGGGTGGAAGAAGAACAATTATTCGGCGGAAAGTTAAGGGATGGGTTGGGTGTGCTCGACCTCGGTTGATTTCGTGTCCCCGAAAGTACTATATGATTAGCAGGGAGAGCGAATGGATTTGATTCTAGATCTAAAGCTATGCTACTTACTACTAGCATAGGTTAGGGCTCTATGTTTACTATAATCCTATCTTTATATATACTTCTGACCTCAGGTTTTTAAGCTATAGTCTTAATTCTTAATAGAAATACCTGAGTCGTTCCTTTTCTTCTATTTATAAATATAATAAGTATTAGAAGAAGAAGTATTTATATAACAAGTAAAAATAGTCTTAAATATATAATACTTATTGGAAATACAGCCCTTGCAGTATCAGGTGACGCGGCTGCTAGAGGATGCGTATAAGGTTATAAGAACCTTATCTTTACCTCTATAGTAGCTTTCCTCCTTTAAGCTAATATAACCCCTTTAATCCACTTTCCTAACTATATCCCTATCTAGTCTACGTGTCCTTCTAGAGGTAATAATCCTAGGAGGCATATAGTTCTAATAGGTTCTAAGCTCTAGTTATAAGAATAAAGGCCTTTAGTTTCCACCTAAAATAATCCTGCTATTATATAAGTTTAAGAGCGGTCTATAGGTAGTAAAAGTAATATTTAAAGAGATAATATAATATATCTATTATTACAGGTGAGTCATATATACATAGAGGCTTAATATGATATTTAATAAGTTTAATAAAAGAGAGAGAAGAATCTTCATCTAGATCCGAAGAAAAGTAAGCGCTCCCTAGTTAAGGCTTAGTAAGCTAAGTATAGATATAGCCTATACTTTACCGAGGGTATATACTATATTGCAGTTCCGCCGAAGCTGCGAAACAGAGATCTTTCATCTAACTGCTTACTATTTATAATAGGCGGTCGTGCATTCTACTAGCTAAACTAACCTTAATAGAGAGATTAGATTAGATAATTTAAAATTATTTAATACGTCCTAGCTAGATATATAGTAATATATCTTCTATTTTTATAATTGCTCTTTTAAATATAAACCTAATCAAGTCACTTGCGTTCTAGTTATTAACCTTACTCTTATTACAGAGCGAATGCCAAGTATATAGAGCAAAAGCCTGAATTTGATATAAGAAGAATTAACTAAAGAGAGAAGAGAAGCTTCTCTTATATAAATAGATATAGGGGTTTTCTAGCTTTTAAAGAGAGCTAGAAGAAGTGAAATTATAGATCTATTATATTTATATTATATATA